GCCGCCGCCGCTGCCGCCAGCCGCCTGCTGCCTCTGGTGCGGGCGGACGGGCGCGACACCCCGGGGAGCCAGCGCGGGCGCGGCGCTCTGCTGCGTGAAGGGGGCGGCCGGCGACAGGCGTTGGGCCCCCGAGACCGCGTGCGCCCCGCCGCCGCTCTCTGGGGCGCTGCCCCCAGAACTGAGCGCTTTCAGGCCCCCCCCTGCCCTGGCAGCAGCCGCGGACGCCCGCTGTTTCCGGTCCCGCCTGCTGCCCGCCGACTTCCTTGCCCCGCCGGCGCGGGCCGGCGGCGACGCCGGCGCTGGCGACGCACCCACGCCTGCGCCCGCGCCCGCCGCCGCCGCGCGGCGCGCGAGCTCCCGCCGCCAGGCCTCCACAGCGGGATGCCCCTTGGCTGGCAGCCCGGGAAAACACAAGTCCTCCAGCCCGACTGACGCCTCCTGCAGGCACCATTAGGCGGCGTTCCGGCGGCACATCGGTTTTGAGGGGGCAAGGTCCAAAGGGGGGGAGGTGTGGTTCGCAGCCAAGGGTTAAGGTGGGGGGAGTGGGGACTCATGGGGCAGCGGCAGGGGGCCGCGCCCGCCGGCGGGGCGGAGGGGCGGCGGGGCGACGCGGTGGCGCGCGGCGCCGGCTGTTCGCTCACCTTTGGCGGCGGCTCGGCGTGCGCCCACTGGGGCGGGGTGTCGAGGTGGTAAGTGACGTCGAAGCTGCAGATGCAGCAGTCCTCGGCTGCGGGGACCGGCAAGGGGACAGCAAGGGTCACGCTGCCGTCACGGTCGCCGGCGTGGTGGGCGGGCGTCGCTGCGGCTGGACAGGCAACCACGCCACTCGTCGAAGCTTTGCTACCGACGGCCTGAGATGGACCGGTGCCCCCCACCTCCATTCCTGGTGTGCGCTGACCGCCAAGCACAGCAATTGCTCTCTCGCTCGGACCCCCTGGGCGGCGCCAGGGTGCGTGGCCCCATGCGCGTGCATCCCTCGTCCATGCGCAGCATGACGGCCCCGCGGCCGCGGCGTCTCACCGGGTGGGTGCTCCCTGTGGCGCGCCGCCTTGATGAAAGCGGTGTAGTACTTGCGCTGGCCGTTATTGTGCTTGCACAGCGCCGTCATGCGCATGCCGGGCCGCAGCTCGCGGCACCCCTCATCCTGCACGGGTCTGCAGGGGCGCGAGGGGCGGAGGGAAGCGACCGGTTACGCCGTTGGGCGCTGCCGCAGGGGCAGGGGGCCCCATGCACGCGCATGCGCGCGGCCGCATGCGCGTGGCGCTGCTTTGCATGCTGCATGCGCGTGCGCATGCGCAGCGCATGCGGCCGCATGCACCGCGCATGCGGCCGCCCGACTGCCCGCTGCATGCGGCAAGGGCGTGAGGGGCTGCATGCGGCAAGGGGCGGGCGTGCGCGCGCACATCCAAGCACCGCCTGCTGGGGTGGCTCACTGGGATGTGAGGCGCAGGCGGTGGTCCAACTCATCGAGCCTGCAGAACTCCTCGTGCGTGTCCTCCTTCTCGGCACCCCTTAGAAGGGAGGGGGCCACGAGCGGGCCGGGGCGCGCATGGGCTTAGGGGCGGGCAGGCGGCGTCGACGCGGCGAGCGCGCACACCGTGAGGTGTCGATGCCTCAGCCCCCCAGGAGCTGGGCAGATAGCCCCCCGATGGGGACGGGGTGGCAGATTGCGGCCGCCTGCACTGGCAGGTTGGAGCTGCGTGGGCAGCGCCACAAGGGCGCAGCCTGGGCGGCTCATCGACGCCCCACGCGCGCGCCACGCACGCACACGCGCGCACGCGCGCGCATCCACGCGGCCACGGCTGGTGGCGCTGCACGTGTGATGTCCTCGGCAAACCGCAGGACATGTGTCCCACTCACTTCCACGAGAGCTTGAGAGCATAGGACGCGGGCTTGGCGTCCCCGGGCACGCGGACCACCCTGGACGTGGCTACGTCCACATCGTACCACGCGCTGTCCCCCAGGCTCAAGTACTCGAGCCCCTGCTCCTCCATCGCTGCTGCCCGGTGCTAGTTCCCCAGACCTGCTGCCGGCATCGAGGCTGCACACACACTGCCGCACACACACGTAGAGCCACAGTGATGAATACGTTCAGAAAAAGATGGTTATTTATTTTGAGGGGAACCGCGACCCTCACAACGAAGTTTGGCGCTGGCGGCGCGTCCGGGCGCACGTGGCGTGTGTGCGAACGGGCGGCTGGCAGCATGCGCGCAAGGAGCAGGATTCCTGAGAGGCCAGGGTGGTGGTCAGCAACACAGGAAAAATATGTGCAGCGAGCATGTGGCGGGCACCTTCCGGCACACTTGATCCCTCACCCTTGCTGCTCATGCTCACCTGGGTTTGGCTGTGTTCTGCACCTTGAACCGCAGCCCAACCCTCCTCACGGCAGCCAGCACGTTACCATGATGCAAGAACGGCACTGGAATGAGGGATTCAAGCAAGCCAGGTGCTTGGATGACACCTCCCAACCAATGTAAGACCCGACACATCCATAGAAAGTGCCTCCCCTTCCAGCGTTAGCCCTTCCAGCTGGGCAGGGCGATTGTCCGCCCGCAAAACGTCGATTCAAAACCAAGCATCCTGGCGACCGCAGCCGGGCGCGTGCGGCAGGGCAGGGGTGCGCCCATGCCTTGCTACCAGGAACCCTTGCCGCTCGCAGCCCTCACACCCCCGGCCAGATGCGACATGTCACGAGGTGATTGCTATGTTGCTTGCACTGGCTGCCACAAATCAACAATAAGTCTTGCGAGCTCACACGCGTGGCAGTGAAAACCGCCACGCGTGAGGGCGGGTCCCTAAGTAGTAGGCAATGGTGGCCTGGCGGCGCAAGGGTTGATTCGAGGGGCGCAGGGCCCAAAACGTATAAAGGGTGCAACGCATGGCGAGCGCGACGCGCAGCCCACCAAGTGCTGTTTGCAACTGGTATTTGCCGTGTTGAGTGTCATAGGGATGCTGCAGCGGCACGGGGCGTGCGTGGAAACGGGGCCGTGCGCACGCGGCACGCCGTGCAACGTGGGCATGCGTCTACGATGCAGGTAACTGCGGACGCCAACGCCAGCAGATGGATGGCGACCGCGCAACAAAATGCAACAAAGCAAAGCAATTTCCTGAGCCTGTTGCACGCCCTTGTGGGATGGGAGCCCCGAAACTGTATTTGCAATACAAATGGCACAGCACAAACCAACACGTTGTCTGTTCAAGCAATGGGAGCATGTGCCATGGGGCGCATCAGCTCGGCCCCCTGCCTGTGCATTTCTTGTGTGAGACTCACAATGGAGATGTGATCTTGGGCCTGCAGCTGCTTATTGCAGAGCTGGGTGACTGCCTGCCTGCCAGCACGACGGCCGGCCTTGCAGATGGGACGCATGGAACGGCCCTGGCCTGCGAAGGAATCACTCGTCGCCGCCGATGGACGCCTGCTGGCGCACCACCGGCGGCGCCGCGGCCGGCGGCGCCGCGGCCGGCGGCGCGTAGGCAGCGGCGCCGCGCGTGTCCCTGCCGTCTGCAGGCGGCGGCGGCGCCGCGCGCGCGGCGGCGCCCGTGCCGGTGATAACGGCAGAGGCGGCGCGCTTCTTGCGGGCCACAATCACCGCCGCGAGCGCTACCGCCAGGACAGCCGCGGCGGCGACACTGGCGACGACGATCCCGGCAATCGGGCCCGGCCCAAGGGCGGCCTTGGAAGCTGCACGCCGCGCCGTCACGGCGTCGAGGCTGCCTGCGGCGGCACCGGTGACCTTGGTCGCGAGGTCTGAGCCGGCCAGCAGCGCGGCAGGGTCCGAGGTTACCAATGCCCGCAGCCGCGCCGCCTGCGCCGCTGTCGTGCCGTCGGGCAGCAGAAGCTGCACCTCCGCGCGCACCGACCCGGCCGCGACCCTGGTGACGGACACGCGGCGCAGCGGCAGCGCGCCCAACGGGGCCGCGAGGGGCGGGGCGGCGGCGGGCCAGGCCGACGCGACGCCGGATAGGAAGGCGCGGCGCAGGTCCTCCTTGAACGCGGAGAGCTTCGCTGAGTCAGCAGTGATCTGGGCGTAATCCATGTTGAATGTGAAGGTGAAGACCTGGGCAGGTGGATCGGGGGGTTCGTGCCGTGGGGGCAGAGGCGTGGACGATGTGGATCTGGAGAGGGGTGCGCGCGTGTGCAGCTGTGGGGCCCAGCGCGCAGCGAACGGCGCCGCGCATCTGCTGCCAACCCGGCGTGCGACGCAGCTGCGCCGCGCCGGCTCGTTAAAGGCAGAGCCACGACTCTCCACCATCGTCTGCGGGGCTCACCTGGTATTGGCTGCCATTGACAGGCGCGTCGCTGAACACGGGGCCTGCCGACGCCGCCTCGGCTGCGCCCTCTGCTGCGGACCCCATGCCCTGGGCAGCCCGCTCGGCCCCTGCTGCCGCCGCGGTGGCCGCAGACGGCGGCACCTCGTAGCGCACGACCGCATAGGTCCCGGCCAGCGGGGTTGTGCAAACCGCCACCCGGCCGCCGGCGCGGTCCTCAACGCGTGCGAGCGCCACCTCAGCCGGCGCCGAGCTCGCCGCCAGCGAGGCGCCGCTGGTGTCGCCCTTGGGCGCGGCGAGCCGCACACATGCCAGGTGCGCGGCGTCCGCCGCACCCTCCTCCACCAGGCGGCGGCGCGTGGCGGCGCCCGCACCGCCGCGGCGCGCAGGCGCGTCTGGCGCCGCGCCGGGGCCGTCCATTTCGAACGGGAGAGTAATCGTCGCCCCCGGCGTGCAAGGCGCGGCGGGTGGGCACAGGGCGCCGCCGCCGGCGGTGAAATTCACGGCCAGGCTGACCACGCCGCTGACGAGGCGCGCGCGGACGGGCGCAGCGCCCTGGAAAAGCGCGACGGCGTCGGGGTAACCTTGAACGACGCCGGCAATTATGTATGGGCCGGCGGAGCTCGGGGCGTAGTAGGTGGCAGTGAGGCGGAGGGGCGCCGAGGAGCAGGCGGGGTCTGTTGCACAGGAGGTGCTGTAACTGGTGGGCAGGGAGACCTGATTTGAGAGCAATCGAGAGAGCAGCACATTCTTTGAGTGAAAAGGCATTAGAGATGGTGTTAAGATTCAAAAGGAAATACTTTCAAAGCCAGCTGTCAGGCCTAGTGTGTGGGCTGTCAGACAAGATGCAATGCGGTTGCAGAGGTGTCAGGTGCCAACCTCAAACGCCCCCCGCACCTCGGCGGGTCGCGGCACGCCTGAGCAGCCGAGCGGCACCCTCAGGCCGCCCATCATCCCGGCCCTCCTCAGCGCGGCCGCCACGCAGACGCCCGCGTCGCCCGCCGGCACGGGCGGCGCGTTGAGCGGCGCGGCCGCCACGCTCGCGGACGCAAGCGCGGCGGCGCCGCTGACGAGCTGCGCGTACGCCTGGCCCGGCGTCAGCGCCTTGACGCCTGCGGCGCCCGCGGCCCCGCCCTGCAGCAGCAGCCTCCTTGACGGCGCCGGCTTGGCCTGCGGCGCCCCCGCGGCCGCAGCCGGCGGAGGCGGGCGCGCGGGTCGGCCACTGGCGGCGGCGAGGCCGGCAGTGAAGGCCTGGGCGCTCGCTTTGGCTTGGACGGGTGACAGCTGGATCTTGCTGTCTGAGCTGGCCTTCATGGTGTCCCTGCGGCGCAAGGTGTGACGTTTAAAAAGCGTGTGCCTGCAGGCGCAGTAGCGCAATTTCTGCGGGCGCTGATTCGGCCTGTCAACTGACTCGGGGTAAGAGTCGCTGGCCGCGGTACATCTGGTATTGTCAGGCAGGCTGCTTTGAAGGTGGCAGCGAAGAGCTGACCCGGAGCCCGCCCAGCCC